CATGGATCGGCTTTGATGATGGATATGCGGAGGACCTAGGTATTTTAGAATAATTATATTTGAGAGTAAGAAGAGAGTAAAATGTTCCAATACATTATAGAGAAATTTAATGCAAAAACACAAGGCTAAAGTAAGAAATTTGTATTCACTCGAGTATAAGAGATTTTACTATTAACGGCATTGGTAATGCCTATATACTCCATGGATGTACTCAAACTCTCAAAAGATATGTGAAGAAATCAATAGTTTCTTATGGAGTTCTCAAAAGAATATAAGAAAAAAAATTATAAGAAAGACTTGAATTGAATGGGAATCTCGAACAAAGATGGAGGAGTGGGATTCAGAGACTTATAATATTTTAACATTGTCTTTGGAAAACAAGCTTGGAGAGTAATGCAACAGCCTGATATACCAGAATCAAGATTAACATAAGAACAATAGAACACAATTTTTTTTAGGTAGTATACTGATTACATCTTTTTGTGTTTTTTGTTTCTTTAATTTATTTAAACAAAAACATGGGAACAAAGTGAAAATATAATCTTGTGAAGGGAATAAGTCACTCTTCTCTTACAAAAGAGGAAGTGAAGTAGTGCTCTAATTATTTTCTTAAAAATAAAACAAAAGAAAAGACCAAGTAATAAGACTTGATCTTTGAACTTTGGGTTTGGTTTCCTCCGGTCTAAACCCTAACCCCTAAACTCATCATCAAAAGCCAAGAAATCTTCTAGAATTATCACCATTACCATAAGTGGGTGCAGGACTTGGAGCAGGGGAGATACTAGGCTGTGAGACAGTATCAATGAAAGCACCCAATGCCCAATTTAATGGTGTGTTCTTCACTTTATTCGAAAATATGACTCTGCAAGAAAACCAAACTGTTTATAATTTTTTTTCCTAAAATGGACGTTGATTACTCTAAATGTTCTTGAATTTGTGAGTAGCATTTACCTAGGAGTACCAAGTCTTTCAAACATTGAGATTATATACGCTGATGAGAAGCAATACCCACGCAAATATTCTAGGTCAGTTCCTTCGTATTCCTTTACCAGTTCGTCCCAATCTTTTCGACAAAACGCGTCGCCCTTATGCCTCAAGTCAGAATACCAAAATTTTTGATCTAACTTGAAGAACTGATTCAAATTTCAGAATAGAAACACAAAAGAACAATGCTCAAAAGATCATTCCACAAAAATTCAAACATAAATCTTGCTGTCATGAGATTATACCGTGCTGGTGAAGAAGAAAGTTGCTGTAGCCAAAAAATCATTTCCTTTAAGCTTAGGTGTGTATGTTGATCCAATAGCACAATAACTAGATGGACACATATCTGTACATATATTACCAAAAACTACACTTTTTAGAGATCAAGAAAATCAAGAAAGATAAACAATATTTTACTTTTTACCATTTTGTTCTTTCAAAAGTTCAAGTGTTTTGGTTTTGCAATCTGTGAAATCACCAGCAGCTTCAAGCTTTGTATATTCGCTTTCATCAGCTAGGAATACAGATAAATATTTGTTTTGATGATTTACGTATTTGTATCCTTTTGGAGTACAAGGGTCTTTAACCTTTTCGTCCCCAACAGCTGTATAGATTGAAGCACCATATGAGTTTGATGAGAGTTTCAATTGTCTTCACTAAAAATTGACTTTATAGAAACTTCAAATTCAGTGAGTAAGTTGAATATTTTTTAAGGATTTGCCATTAACTAACCTGAGTTTTGTAGTTTATTCATTAACCTTTTTATTGCTGCATCCTGCAAGTGGACAAATAAGTTAGTTTTATTCTTGTTAAGTTACTACACGGAACCCGAGCAACCGATCTGAACCCAAACCCGAAATTTTTAAATATTGGAACAGGTTCTAATCAAATTTCAAGATCTGAAAACTCAAACTCGAACCGAATCCAAATGGATACCCGAATACACTCACATATAAATAAATAATAATTATATATTAGTAATATTTATATTTTTGATCTAAATGCTCAAAATATTTAGATACCTATGAAGTTACGTTTTTAGAAAATTTAATTGGGTAAAAAATTCGAGATTTTGATATAGTTTATATATTTTCTAATAGTTTGGGTATATTTTGATACTAAAATTTTGAGTTTATAGAACTTCGAGGTATACGAATCTGGACCCAAAATACCCGATCCTAGCTCGAAATCTATAATATCCGGCCCGAACATATCTTATATCCAACAAATGCAAAATACCCGATTCAAAACCCGAACGCCAACATACCCTCCTAACATTTCCACAATTTTGAAGGGAATGAATAAATAAAATCATCGATTCTATTATTACAAAAAGTGCTTTCCAAACAATTCCTTTTTAAAAGCTAGAAAGATAAATCAAAGATAAATGCTCTAGTCTCAAAAGTTACCTTCCCAGAGTCGGGGAAACTGTGACTGTAGATATTATACGGAACACTTCCATAGGTTTTGTTACGCGAGTCCACATGAGACACAAGCTTATCACTCGACACAAATGTCACCTAAACAAATGCACAAACATTAAGTTTAGTATGTTTTTTTCAACCAGTTCTTGTATTGAGAACCTGCATCTAAGCAAATGCTATTGTTTTATTAAATGCCAAAAAGATGTCTATAAATGATTAATTTTTAAGTCATTTTTAACAATTATTTCTTTAAATAATCCTATATTATGAAATTATTTAAATTAAAAATAAGTTGAATAATGTTTTCTCGTCAAAATTAACGAAAACAAGATTATGCAATTTATAGATAAAGTATGGCATGATTATATATATATAATATATATAACTTAATTTTTAAGTTTAGTCATTAATGTCATGTTAAGTGTGTCGATTAGATTTAAACATATGTCAATTTTGATTTTGTTAATATATTAAAATATTAGCCTATTATACTAAAAGAAAAAGAAATCGTTCACCTCTATTCAAAAAATTCTTTATCATATCGGAAAACTGAATCGGAAATATGTTTATTTTTATTATTTAAAGCTTGACTTATTTATAG